TCCATTGTCATCCAATCCTGGGAGTCGTTTCTGGAGGATATTGAGTACAGAGGTATCTGGGAGGACACGCTCAGTCTGTTTAAGCTTGTTTGACTCTTGTGCAGTTGTAAGTCGTGTACCGGGGGGGCTCCCCAGGATACAGTGAAGTCACGAACGAGGAAACAACCCCAACACCAGCTTTTGCCACAACAGAAGTTTACTTAGATGTGGCAAATAAACACACAACCACAAATGCTGAGAACATACAATAAATTTACATACACCCAGCCCAAAGGCTGAGACGCTTGTGCTGCACAGCACGGCGCCTCCTGATGGATGAAGGTAGAAGGTGTAGTAATTTACCTACTGGGGGGCACAACTAAGCTGCCACACCTTACCTGTTATTACCCTACAGAGCAGGAATCAGTGTATGGGTGTACGGTATGGGCCAGCCTGCTGTGCAGCACAACAGCTTACAATCTTACACAAATCTACAGTATTCCCCCTCCCATAACTGGTCCTGTAGCACGTGCCTGACTATTCCTTCTGAGCAAAACGCCAGTCTGGCTTGAGTTTGTGGGATGTTATCAGCTCTCCAATGTGAAATGTCACTTTAAGTTTTGGAGTCCTTCCAATGATCAGTAACAACACTTGTGGCCTGACACAAACAGAGACCCTAACTAACTATAGGCCTGGACTCAGTCTCTAGGCGCCAACACTGAAATGAGGTGCGTGCACGATCTTACCGACCGACCGGGGTCTGCTTTGCACCCGCTGGTGACTCTGAACAGAACAAATGTCTCTCCAACAAGCATGCGGTATTGCAGTGTATGTTGCTTTGTTCCTCTGCTCTCATCAGCATTCCTGGCAGCAATCTTCCTTTCTCTGAACAGGATCAGGGTCTTGGACATGATCAGCTTCACCTAGCTGCAGCTCTGGTTACTGAGGGATTCTGTCACACCTGGATGCCATCAGATTCTCTGCTCACACGGCTCCTGCATTCACCATCCTCTAAACATGGTTGCTGTCTCTCTCCTTCCTGTTCTCTAAAACTCTGTGTGAAAACCCCACCTCTTCTTGAATATAGAAATATCTATGCAGTCTGAGGCTGTGTTAGGAGAACAGTGGCATCTTGTGGCTAAACCGCAGAATGTCACTCCAGAACATTTAATTTACTCCACACAATAATTTACTGCACACAGTGTTCAAACAATGAGAGCTGTGTCCCCATCTCACACCATATCAGCAAAGAGTCCACTCCATGGAGCAGTAGTCACGGATGGTGTGAGCACATTTGTTTGAAGAATTTAGGAGCACATTTGTTTTTGGGATTGAGCACAATTCATATATTTTGGAAAACATTTTTTTTTGTGTGGACTTTATTTTTTGGGACTTTTATTTATAGTATTTTAACTTTTATATATAATTTATTTGCACTGTGGAGTGTTTATACTCCAATAATAAAATCGTTGTGAATTTTAACATAGTTACATAGTTAGTCTGGCTAAAAAAAAAAAAAAAGTCCATCCAGTTCAACCATAGAAAAAAAAAGTTATAATCCTACACCCACAGTTGATCCAGAGGAAGGCAAAAAAAACCCAGCAAAGCATGATCCAATTTGCTCCAGCAGGGAAAAAAATTCCTTCCTGATCCCCCGAGAGGCAATCGGATATTCCCTGGATCAACTTTACCTATAAATTATATATCCAGTTATATTCTGTGTATCCAAGAAAGAATCCAGGACTTTCCTACAGCAATCCACTGAGCTGGCCACAACCAACTCTTTATGTAATACAGTCTATCCCGGGACCGTGCGGTGGATTGCCCGCTCACCTGCGTCCCCGGACCGGGAAGGGATGCTGTTCCTCGGTGTGTGCTGATCGCGGCGCTCCTGAAGCAACGGCACTGCGGAAGTGGAGACCCAGGCAGAGAATGTCAGGGCTCCCGGGTGTGACCAGAGGTATGTGACTGACGCAGGGAAACGCAGACTTCAGATATGTTATAAACAATATAATTTATTAACACTAACAATACAAACATAAACGCAGTGCAATACTAAACATAACACAGTGCAAACAAACCAAACCAACCACCCACAGATAACAGTACATACAATGCAAGCGTCGTCAGGCAGGCCGGGTCAATATCAATCGGGCAGGTAGGTACAGGGGGAGCAAGCGGAGAATGGTCGGGGCCACAGGCCAGGTTCAGCAGGTAGCGGGCAGCGTGGTACAGAGGGTCAGGCAGAGGGATGGTCAGGGTCACAAGCCAGGGATCAGAACAGGAGAAGTAAGCAGAGGTCAGAATCAAGCAGGGTCAGCAACAAGACAGGAACAGGAACAGGAACGCAGGTTTACAAGATACAGGGCCCAGGAAAAACACACACCAAGGCAGAGTCTGCAGGTCTGGCCATCCCTTAAATACACCAGTATAATTAGTTCCAGGTGTTTGATTGGCTGCAAAGTTGAGTCTCTGATTGCTGGGAGCACCCGCTGGCCAGCCCTGGTACTGCAGCTCATAAGGCAGGTGAGTCCCACTATTGCTGGCCAGTCCATTCCTGACAGAGAGGCAAGCTAGGCTGGTGCTGGAAGGCAACATGTTTCTATATCAGACATTTATGAAGTCTTACTGCCTGGTTGCCAAAGAACAATTTGGCCTATTGAATGTTGGCTTCTAGCCAGAAGTGATTGACCTGGGTCAAGGCATGGTTGGCAGTAGAACAGTGCTCCCTGGTGGAGTGTTGTTGGCAATACAGTAGTGCCCCCTGGTGGAGCGTTGTTGGCAATACAGCAGTGCCCCCTGGTGGAGACGACCTACTTCCCGGAAGTAATCCTACACTTCCTAATGAATAAGGAGGGCAGTCCCTTAGGAGTTGTAGACGCTTGCTCATTGGATGGAGAACTACACCAAGCGGGTCAAGGGTGTGTGTGTGGGTAGTGCTTGAGAGAGATCTTTAACCACTTCATGTCCGGAAACATTTACCCCCTTCCAGTCCAGGCCAATTTTCAGCTTTCAGCGCTATCACAATTGCGCGGTCATGCAACACTGTACCCATATGAATTTTTTAGCATTTTTTGGAGACAGATAAAACTTTATTTTGTTGGTATTTATTCACCACTGGGATTTTTTATTTTTTTTTTGCTATAAAAATGAAAAAGGCCAAAAATGTTGAAAAATGTGTTTTTTCTTATAAAATTTTGCAAATAAATAATCTTTCTTCATAAATCTTGGCCACAATGTATTCAGTTATCTTTTTAGTAAAAAAAATAACCCAAATTATTTTATAACCAAAAATTATAATTTTAAATTTTTTTTTTTTACATTTTTATATTTTTTTTATATATTACTATTTAATTTTATTTTATTTTTTTTCAACATACTGTCACCCTAGCAGTAGTGTCACCATGGTGACACTGTACTACTTGTGGGGGGTGATGAAGATTTTTTTTTTTACACTGATTGCTTTTACACCCATAAAGGCTGTAAAAGCAATCATTTCTCCTTCTCTCTGGCTGCATTCTTGCAGCCATTGAGAAATACTGTGTGAGCTGTGATTGGTCACAGCTTGCCGCGTGGTACAAGGCTGTTGTGAATGGCCCTGTACCATGTGATCTCTGTGATCATTCACAGATTTCACATGTAGTAAGCAATGATGTCAGAAGCAGGGGCGGACTGACCATTTGGAAACTCGGGCACTGCCCAAGGGCCCGGGGTCAGTAGGGGACCCCATGAGATGCCCCTGGTACCTTTTTCACAGGCTTTTTTGAGTTTGGGCAGGGACACAGGGGCCCCATGATCCCCTATTGCCTAGGGGGAGCTAGTTATTATATTTTTTAGATAGATGCCGAGTAGCAGTCTGGATGATAGAGGGTCAAATTCGAATCAGATCAGCTCTCTGATACCTCCCCCTGATACTTGAGATTTGGAGAAGTCTCTAGAACTCAGTGGGCGGGGGTGAGGGGGAGCTGGCCTGAACACTTGAGGGATCCTGGCCAATTCCAAAGCAGGAGGTTTGGCATGGGTCCAGGCAGGGGCGGACCGACCAGTCGAGCACTCGAGCACTGCCCGAGGGCCCGGGGTCGGTAGGGGGGCCCATGAAATGCCCCTGGTACCTTTTATAAGCTTTTTTGGGTGTGCTTTGAGTGTGGGCAAGGACACAGGGGCCCCATGATCACCAATTGCCCGGGGGCCCCATGAGTTGTCAGTCCACCCCTGGGTCCAGGACAACCCTCTAAGGGCTCGTTCACACTTGACTCATTACCAAGCACCCCTATAGCTTTAGGCAGGCGTTTGGGAAGCGTTTTTAATGCTCCTCAAATGCTCCCTAAGTGCCCTATGCGCAGTTTTGAGGCGTTTGATAGGCGCTTGCCAAGCGTTAAAACCGCACCACAAACGCCTATAATGATGTTAAATGGAATTAATGCTCCGCAAACGCCCCGCAAACGCCTCGCAAAAGCCCCACAAATGCCTGCCAGGCATTTGAGGAGCAGCACCATCAGGGGCAGACTGACCATTCGAACATTTGGGTACCACCCGAGGGCCCAGCATCAGTAGGGGGCCCCATAAATGCCCCTGGTACCTTTTTTATAGGCTTTTTTTTTGGTGTGAGCAAGGACACAGGGGCCCTATGATCCCCTATTGCCCGGGGGGCCCCATGAGTTGTCAGTCCACCCCTGGGCACCATAGACTTGAATGGGAGGCTTCAACTCCTCCTGACTCCACATGAGGCGTCAGTTTTGCCGCGACGCTAATGCTCAGTTTGGTGTGTGCTGCTAGAGAGTTTTTTTCTTTTTCTTGGGAGGGTGCATGTGATCAGCACAGTGCCAATCAGCACTGTCCAGACAGAGGGTTAGGGGTTATGCAATCTCATGGGGCAGTGAGAGGAGAATGAAAACTCCTTCTACAAGCTTTACCAGTGCTCTGCTGAACACTGATAGAAGTTACAAGATTGCTATATACTGCTGATGAGAAAAAGTAATTAGCAGTTTATATTTACTAAAATAATTGCATTTCCATGTTCTGTGTACTGCGGGAGACCAAATATAGTGAATGCAGGGTCCGGAGAGAGCGGATATAGTGAATGCAGGGTCCGGGGAGAGCGGATATAGTGAATGCGGGGTTCGGGGAGAGCGGATATAATGAATGCAGGGTCCGGGGAGAGAGCGGATATAGTGAATGCAGGGTCCTGGGAGACCGGATATAGTGAATGCCGGGTCCAGGAGAGCGGATATAGTGAATGCAGGGTCCGGGGAGAGCAGATATAGTGAATGCTGGGTCCGGGGAGACCAGATTTAGTGAATGCAGGGTCCGGGGAGAGCGTATATAGTGAATTCAGGGTCCGGGGGGAGCGATTATAGTGAATGCAGGGTCCGGGGAGACCAGATTTAGTGAATGCGGGGTCCGGGGAGAGCGGATATAGTGAATGCGGGGTCTGGGGAGACTGGATATAGTGAATACCGGGTCCTGGGAGACTGGATATAGTGAATGCCGGGTCCAGGAGAGCGGATATAGTGAATGCAGGGTCCGGGGAGAGCGTATATAGTGAATGCTGGGTCCGGGGAGACCAGATTTAGTGAATGTAGGGTCTGGGGAGACTGGATATAGTGAATGCAGGGTCCGGGGAGAGCGGTTATAGTGAATGTGGGGTCCTGGGAGACCGGATATAGTGAATGCCGGGTTCAGGAGAGCGGATATAGTGAATGCGGGTCTGGGGAGACCAGATATAGTGAATGCGGGGTCCAGGAAGAGCGGATATAATGAATGCGGGGTCCGGAGAGAGCGGATATAGTGAATGCGGGGTCCAGGGAGAGCGGATTTAGTGAATGCAGGGTCCTGGGAGAGCAGATATAGTGAATGCTGGGTCCGGGGAGAGCGGATATAGTGAATGCAGGGTCCGGCGAGAGCAGATATAGTGAATGCGGGGTCCAGGGAGAGCGGATATAGTGAATGCGGGGTCCGGGAAGAGCTGATATAGTGAATGCAGGGTCTGGGGAGACTGGATGTAGTGAATGCCGGGTCTGGGGAGAGCGGATATAATGAATGCAGGGTCCAGGGAGAGCGGATATAGTGAATGCAGGGTCCGGGGTTTAGTAACATTTTAAGAGTGGCTGAACCTGCTCAGAAGCAGGAGAGTTTGAGTGGAAGATGTCAGGCAGGCTAAGATGCAGGAGCCTGGGAGGGGGCTCAGTGGAAAGGGAACTACCTACAGGCAGAGGTGCTGGAAAGGAGGATCACTTAACCTTGGTAGTCCCCTTAAAGAGGACCATCTGTGAAGCAGGGAAGGAGCCAGCCCAGCAGAAGACCTGAAGGCAGCCACCAACCCAACAAACGCATTGGAGAGGAACAGTGAGTAATCCTACAACCCCTGAACCTGTTAAGAGGAAAGGGCATTCTGGTGGGAAGCCTGACCAGCTCCATACCAGGAACAATTTCAACAAGTGGCAGGCACTGGATCCCCTTGCCCAGGGATTTCCTCCAGATAGCTGGATGAGAGGAGCATTCATCTGGGGTGGTAAACTAGGCGAGGCTGGAGAGCTCTCCAAGAAAAAACATTTTGCTGTAAAAAGACTTGTACATAGTTTCCAAGACGTTGTCCTCAGTTTACGTGTCACTTGGACATCCCATACACCCTTTACCTCATCCAAGTTCAAATGCTCATAACAAAACATAAGAAACCAAGCCCAAGGACAGTTTACTGGCTCCTGTATGCAAGCTGGAATGCAAGTCTTAAGAAAATGCATGTTGCCTGGCTGTGCAGGACTATAGGGAGATCCAAATCTTCAGCAAGCCCTAAGGGGGTAGTGCTACATTATTATTATTATTAGCGATGGGCACAGTGTTCAGTTTTAGATGACCACAGGCTCTTTGAACAATTGTGTGAACGCCAAACATTTAGGGCATTCGGTGTGGACTAATGTGACAGATTCTGGCTGTCAACAGTTGGTAAAGAAGCAATGACAGCTTCCAGCAGCTGCATCCTTGTCAACCACTGACATCATCCGACCAATTCATTTACATGGCCGGAATCCCCGTCCACATAATAGAATGGACGGGGAATGAAGCGGGTTACATCACTGTCTAATTATGACCACATTTGGGCAATGCCGTCAATGGTTGTTAAGGAAGCAGAAGCTACTAGCCGCCACTGCACCCCCTACCAACCACTGACATCACCTGAACCATTCGTTTACATGGCCAAGAATCTCCAGCCATGTACGCAAATGGCAGGGAAAGTTGCATTACATCATTGCCTAAATTTGGCCACATGGCCATATTTGGGCAATAACACTGTCCCTCCCCTCTTCATCTCCCCAACCCATCCTCATCTCCCTAACCACTCCTATATAGCCATAACCAGGGGCAGACTGATCATTTGGGAATTCATGCACTGCTCGAGGGCCCAGGGTCAGTAGGGGGCCCCAGGAGAAGCCCCTGGTACCTTTCATAGGCTTTTTTGAGTGTGGGCGAGGACACAGGGGCCCCATGACCCCTTATTGCCCGGGGGGGCCCCATGAGTTGTCAGTCAGCCCCTGGCCATAACCATACCTCATCTTCAAAATGCTTACAAAGCACATGGTGCTAGCCCTGCCTACTTTGTGTTTCTGATGGATTACAAAGAACACAGACCTCTCCTTAGCTTCATAATCCCTCCCTGGCACAGCAAAGAGTGTATTAAGTTATCATCCCACAAAATAACCTCAGTTTATCTCTACAACCCGATCCATACCTAGCCCATATCTTTGCACCCCGCCTTATCTCCATGACCCCATCTACATATCCATAACTGCTCCTGATTTCCATAACCCTACCCACATTTCTATAACCTCTCCACATCTCATAACCCCTCCTCATCTCCATAACCCCATCCACAGATCCATTATCACTCCTCAACTCCATAATCCCATCCACATATCCATAACTGCTCCTCATCTCCATAACCCCATCCACATATCTATAACTGTTCCTCATCTCCATAACCCCATCCACCTATCCATAACCGCTCCTCATCTCCATAACCCCATCCACCTATCCATAACCGCTCCTCATCTCCATAACCCCATCCACCTATCCATAACCGCTCCTCATCTCCATAACCCCATCCACCTATCCATAACCACTCCTCATCTCCATAACCCCATCCGCATATCTATACCTGCTCCTCATTTCCATAATCCCATCCACCTCTCCATAACCCCTCCTTATCTCCATAACCCCTCCTCATCTCCATAACCCCATCCGCATATCTATAACTGCTCCTCATCTCCATAATCCCATCCACCTATGCATAATACCTCCTCATTTCCATAACCCCATCCACATACAGTATCTATAACTGCTCCTTATCTCCATAACCCTGACCACATCTGCATAACCCCATCCACATATCCATAACCTCTCCTCATCTTTATACTCCTCTGCATCTTAGTAACCCCTTCTCATGTCTACATCACCTTAAGCACATTAAGTTACCACAAAACAACCCCATTTCTATAAACCAGTCCATATTCATAATCCCTCCACAACTCCATAACCGCATCCACATATCCATAACTTCTTTTCACCTCCATAACTCCTTCCACATACTGTATCCATACAGTAACTGCTCCTTATCTCCATAACCCCATCTACATCTCCATAACCCCTCCTTATCTCCATAACCCCATCCACATATTCTTCATAACCCCTCTTCATCGCCATAACCCCATCCACATATCCATAACCCCTCCTCATCTCCATAACCACATATTCATAAACCCTCCTCATCTCCATACCCCATCCACGTATCCATAACCCCTCCTCATCTCCATAACCCCATCCACATATCCATAACCGCTCTTCATCTCAATAACCCCATCCACATATCCATAACCCCTCCTCATCTCCATAACCCCATCCACATATCCATAACCGCTCTTCATCTCAATAACCCCATCCACATCTCCATAACCGCATCCACATATCCATAACTTCTTTTCACCTCCATAACTCCTTCCACATACTGTATCCATACAGTAACTGCTCCTCATCTCCATAACCCTATCCACATATCCATAATCCCTCCTCATCTCCATAACCCATCCCCAATCCCTCCTCATCTCCATAACCCCATCCACATATCCATAACCCCTCCCCAACTCCATCACCCCATCCACATATTCATAACCCCTCCTCATCTCTCCATAACCCCATCCACATATCCATAACCGCTCTTCATCTCAATAACCCCATCCACATCTCCATAACCCCTCCTCATCTCCATAACCGCATCTACATATCCATAACTTCTTTTCACCTCCATAACTCCTTCCACATACTGTATCCATACAGTAACTGCTCGTCATCTCCATAACCCTATCCACATATCCATAATCCCTCCTCATCTCCATAACCCTATCCATAATCCCTCCTCATCTCCATAACCCCATCCACATATCCATAACCCCTCCTCAACTCCATCACCCCATCCACATATTCATAACCCCTCCTCATCTCCATAACCCTATCCATAATCCCTCCTCATCTCCATAACCCCATCCACATATCCAAAACCCCTCCTCAACTCCATCACCCCATCCATATATCCCTAACCACTCTTCATCTCAATAACCCCATCCACATCTCCATAACCCCTCCTCATCTCCATAACCCCATCCACATATCCATAACCGATCTTCATCTCCATAACTCCTCCTCATTGCCATAACCCCATCCACATATACATAACTGCTCTTCATCTCCCTGCTCTGGACATGAGGACGTCAGGAATAGTCCACAGCCAGAGCTTGGGGGAGCACCTCCACTGAAGTGGAGGATCAGGAGAGTATGCTTTACTAGTATGCTTTCTGGTCACCCCTAGAAAATACGAGTCAACCCATGCACTGCGGGCACTTTTTTTTGGCCGGAGTTGGGCATTAATAAACAAAAATGTAGCAAGTAAGAGAAGTTTGTGGTTAATTTTTACATAAGTTTCAAATTCTTATTTCTCTTTAATCAAAGATTCCAATACAACTGAAACCCCATCCTTTCTGTCAAAGTGGTTGGTTTTAAAATTTCCTGGGTAATATACTGTTAAATGAGAAAGGGTGAGAATTAAACTGACATTTGTGTCTTCTAATAAACAGTTAACATTATCTCCAATTTCCCCTCAATTTCCGGAGTCAGCAGTAAGCGAGGAAATCCTCGGAGGGCGGCTTGATGGGTTGGTAATGAGCCGTACGCGGCTCTACAGTAACTGCAGAGTTTTGCCCTTAGGATCCGGTTTGCACAAAGACTGACGTTCTCAGCGTCCTCCGGAGTATGGCTGTCATCGGGGCCAGCTGCATGCAGATGTGGAACCTTCCACCGATCTGCTGTAAACAATGATGAGGTCTGCGGATCCATCATCACATCGATCATAAAGACGCCTTGTAAAAAAAAAAAAAAGAGAAGAAATTACGCTTCGGCGTACCACAAAGTTTGTCCATTAGTCCGCGGGGATTTGGTGCATAGAGAAATAAATTTAATGAGTATCAAACATTAGGGATGCGGAGGAGAACATCTTCAGGGCCATAAAATGAAAGGAGATCTCATTAATTTACAAATTATTGTGATTCAAATGTCATAACTCAAGCTGAAGGTGGAAGAATGGAAAATGAATTCACTTAATGAATAACATAATTAGGATATCGCTGCCATGCTTGTAAAGGAAATTATTGCACATGCGATCTTTTTTATGTTCACTTATTTTCTGGTTGCCATGGCATAGAAGACTTGTAGTCGGTGCCAGACCGCAACACGCTAAAACTGTTGATATTTGTCAAAGCTAGAGAAGCAGAAAGTCACTTTACCTTAACCCCTTCATGCCTAAGGGTAAGACAAATCTTAATGCCTAAGCACAATTTTGCAACTTTGACATGCAAAGGCGTCCCTAGGGTTGGTGTCACCCGGTGCGGTAACACTTGGTGACACCCCCTCCGACGATCCCCGCAGAATGGAACGGATCTGCGGATTGGGGAGGATAATGGATCGGACTCCAACACATTATGCTCAATCCACAGATCTGATCCATCCTGCACGGATCGTCGGCTTGCTTTACAACTTACCTTTTCTTGGAGCGGGTCCAGTGTCACCCCATATAGGTTGCATGCTGACGATCCCCGCAGGATGGATCGGATCTGTGGATTGAGCATAATGGATCGGACCAATCCATTATCCTCCCCAATTCACAGATCCGATCTATCCTGCGGGGATCATTGGCTTGGTTTACAACTTACCTTTTCATGGAGCGGGTCCGGTGTCAC